CTCTCTCTCTCTCTCTCTCTCTCTCTCTGTCAAGCACACACACAAACACAAACACACATACGCATACATAAACAGGCACACTTAAAGAATATTTATAAAAGCACAATATACTCACAAACAAAGAATCTATACGACCTTAGCTTTGCCACAGTACAGAAACGGGACGCATGATTGTAAACACAATATGGTGGTAAAACGAGACTTCAGTGGTAGACCACATTAGAGTAAATAAAGCTGGATGGTGATCAAACGTTCGTACAAAGTAGGGCTACACGGATGTAAACACCTCTTAATGGTGGCCAAACTAAACTACAGAGAAAGGCAACGTGAATGTAAAAGCAGCGTAATTGTGATAAAACGAGCGTCCATATTTCATCTTACTTTTATTCAGTGAGGTCTCATGAGTGTAAACGTAGCTTAAGGGTGACCAACCGGTTGTGCACAATGTACTTGAACACAGCTTAATGGTGATCAAACGACTGTTCAAAATGAACGTTTACAGATTGAAGTCTCATGAGTGTGTATACGTAGCTTAATGGTGAGCGAGCGCGCGGATTGATGCCCACCTCGCCCTTCGCTGTTGTGCCCGCTCTCTGGTGTCATGTGATCTACCTCCGCGCGCTGTTCACCGCGCGCCGCGCGCTTACTCAGAGGATCATGTACATGATCATGTACAAAACATCAGGCTTCCAGTTTCCACTATAAACACAAACACGGCAGACGAAGACGGAAAAGTGTAGCGCGTAGTTGCAGATAGAATAGTCCGCAGTCTTGTCCAAGCGGACTTGCTCTCTTGTATCGTATCTCTACAGACTTCTCACACAATTCTCTTAGTTTGAAATCCGTCAATATAACCTAATCTCTGTGAACAGTGGAAAAACAACTTAGACTTCATTCAAATTTAATTTTAAGCACACATCATGTGACCAAGGGGGAGGGGAGAATTTTTCCTCATTCTTTGCTTTACTTCTGAAAACTTTGCAAACAATGGTCAAGGCAGAGTGTGGACACATATTATTATACACTCGTATTATATAATTCTTGGAAGCAATGATTTATGATGACTATGACTGTCCGGTTTTCTGATTTTGTCCGTCACTGCCTGGTGGTGCATTATAGTTTTTTTGTGGAAAGAGAAAGGTTTTGTTTTGGTGTGGATTAATGCTGATGAATCTTTGTGGGAGATACTTGACAGAGTAAGTTCACAGTAGAGGTAAGCTATAACTTATATAAGCATGCTGCTTTGATTGTATGTGCATAATGTGAGTGGGTTTACGTTTGTGTGTATGTGTGTGCGTTTGTGTGCATGTGTGTATGTATGTATATATGTGAGTGTGTGTGTGTGTGTGTGTGTGTGTGTGTGTGTGTGAGTGTATGTATATACATGTATATATGTGCGTGTGTGAGTGTGTGTGTGTGTGTGTGTGTGTGTGTGTGTGTGTGTGTGTGTGTGTGTGTTTATGGGCCAATTATAGGTGTTTGTGTTTGTATGTGTGTCTGTGCCTGTGTATGTGTCTGTGTTTGTGTGGTATGTGTGTGTGAGTGTGTGTTTAAACGCCTTTGGTCAGCATTCCCTCTCTCCACTCTCACGTTCCCTAGTCCCCTTATCTCACCCCTCTTTCTTTCCCTATCTTTGTTTCTCTTTCTGCATCCCCCCTCTCTGCCCCTCCCCCTTCTCTCTCTCTCTCTCTCTCTCTCTCTCTCTCTCTCTCTCTCTCTCTCTCTCTCTCTCTTTCTGCTCTCGTTCCTTTATTCTCGTTCTCTCTTTCTCTCTATCATTTTGTGTGTTGCTTCCTACATTAATACACATTAAATATGTAATAGGTATCAAAGAAGCGTACAATTAATTGCTAACTGGAAGTAGTCTAGCTGGTGTTATAATTTGATTTTCTGACCATGCCACAGTTGCACCGATGAACGACTTGCTATTCAGATAAAATAACAGGAGACAACTTATCTTAGCAATGTTCTTGTAGGAAGACGGGGTTCGAGAAGACAGTACACCCCCCCCCCCTCCCACCGCTCCTTTTCCCCATTTCAAACCTCTTGACCTAGGGAGTTACATCACATGGGTCATACAGTGGGTTTGATGCAAGGACCTTCCTTGGTTTGATCCTAGATCTATGCCTTTCATGATCAGGGAACTGTAGGCTGGGATCGTTATGATGAGAGAGGGCGTGGGAGATTTGACAAAATAATATAGGTCGGCACTATCCTCCTCCCCACTTGATTCATTATGAGCTTGGCTTATATAAATCATATCTGTTGAACATAATATTTTCCCTACCCACTAACCTTTCACTTGATTTGTTATGAGTTTAATCATATCTGTCGATGTTTTTTCCTCCTACCCAATAACCTTTTACCCGATTCATAACGAGCTTAATATTTTAATCTGTCGAAGATTTCTTTCTCTACCCACTAACTTTTCACCCGATTAATTATGAGCATATATCACTACTGTCGAAGATTTTTTTTCAACCCACTAACAACTTCCCATCTGATTCATTGTGCGTATCATATACGAGCGTATTACCCTGTCGTAAATTTATCTTTTCTGGTGCCACTCCATTTGACGATCTGATCTACTCGACTGATCACAGCCTATCTTTTGTGTTCTTGTGTCAGTCAGTTAGGGGTTAGAGTAAAGGGCTATGGTTTGGACTAGGATAAGGGATATAAGGTTACGGTAAAGTTCAGGTTTCAGGTTGTTGATTGTAGTAGATTAGTAGACTGTTAAGTGAAACAATTTTGTCGACTGTTGTTGTGATACGCCGTCAAGTAGCTCAAAAACATCGTGGCAAACCGTCAAGTGGACGACGGGTAGGTTACCTTTTTTCCACCTTACTAGACCAAGCGCCAGCCTCCCAGCTGGTTCATCAATGCGCTCATCACATTGTTATTCTATGGCAAATTGTTTTTCTTCCCACCGGCTTGTACTGTCATAGCTTTTGTTGTTTTAGTGACCGTTTTAGGGCACTTGTGACACAATTAATTCATTTTAAGTGCTGAAGATTAGAGGTGTTACAAGAGAGTGGCAAACACAAAAAAGAAGGAGAGATAGGAAAGATAGGTGTTTGACATGGAAGAAGGAGCAAACCACACCAGAGCACCCGCTAATCACCCCCCTTGTCTTAGTGTACTTCTGGCATAACAATTGCGATAAAACCATGACGCTTCAAACTGAGTGTAATATTGTACAAGTGGCTTGTGAGAGAGGTTGGAATCAACGATGACATGAAAAACAAAACGTCCATGCATTTCAAGGACTTCACATGATTATGAATAATATCTCAATGACAGCACACATGCCAGTGACTAATTCTTCCAATGTGCCCTTGTTTTTGTCTCTGTTCCCAGAATGAACATCGCCTTTCCAACGTTTTCTTTTTGGTGTTAAAAAAGAAATGAAGAGGGAGAAAAAGGTGTCTGTCTAATTTGCCTTCTTTTGGAACCGTTCTGAAGATGCCAAATATTTAATATTTACCATGCCGTATTGTGGCACTACCGTTTCTCAGTGGCACAATGCCTCAAACGGAAGGAAGGGGGCGCTCATGGTCTAGAGGTTACGGCCTCTCATTCAATAGGTCCCTATGTCCCGGGTTCGAAACCTGACAGCGAAGGAACATTTTCTTCTCTAAAATTGTTTTCTTTTTACCTCCTTTCCTGCTCTTTAACCATATTATGTTGTCTGCTTTTGTCTCCACTTTCTGTCCCCACCCCACCTCCTTTGCGCTCTCCTATGGGCTCCTGACTCTTTCTGCAGCCTTTCTACTGCTACTCCTTGGCTTCTTCTTCCTGCCGTCTTTTAGCCACATCCCTGACCTCAACGTTGGTAAGATCTACAACCTAACGTTCTCGAATGAGGGCGAAAAATCGCGAAGGCCCTGAGTGCAAGTTGCGCATGTTAAAGAGCCCTTGGTGTTCCAAAATCGATTAGAGTAGGCTTCGGCCGCCACCGGGGCAAAATTCAAAATTAATTCCTACCCAGCAGAAAATATTTAATGTGTCCCACGTTCTCATATGCCCTATGCAGTTACGAGCGCCGTAAAACATTTACCAAAACAAACAAACAAACAGAACCGAAGGAAACACAAAATCACAAAGAAGTAATAGATGTATGTATTGTACCACTGCGATACAAATATAATCTTGGTTTGGGTTGATTAAAAAAGTTAAGTCTGGCGACTTTTGACCAAAACACACTCTTCTAACCCCAAAAATCGAACGCGAATGAGATTATCTTTACTTCTATCATGTTATTTATATTGATCGTTGTCTTTGTGAGGTTCAATTGAGTCATGGGGAGGGGGGGGGGGACTATGTTACATAATGTTTAGAATCGGTAAAACATAATTAGGTCTCATCAAGCCATTCCAACCTTCAATAGAAATATAATATCTGTTCTGTCTTTTGAAAAAAAGATACATACTCACACGCGCATACACACACACTCTCACCCACAGACACACACACACACACACGCACTCACACACATTCACACACACAAACACACACACACACACACACACACACAAACACACACACACACGCACTCACACACATTCACACACACAAACACACACACACACACACATACACACACAGACACACACACACACACACACACTCGCACACAATGGCCATGATCCTACCACGAAAGGAGAACTTACTTTGTCTTTGTCTTTGCTACTTTAAAAAAGTTATTAAAAAATTCAGCTGATTCGCAATAATATTGATTTTCCAACTTGAACCATGAGCCAGATGTGAAATATGAATTAACTGAATTGGCGAAGTTAAAAAGCCTTTGTTCTGAGCGACAACCACAAAGGTCATACACAATGTCATAAGCAAGAGCAGGATTAAAATTATTGTCTCGGTGAATTTTGGATTTAAAAAAAAAGAAAAGAAAAGAAAACAGATCACGTCTGAATGGCCGCATTTTGACACACTAGTTTTTAAACGTTTGGAATGTGTTTAGTCCTTTCACTGCTGTATTCGTCCACTTGTTGCGATGCTACGTTAGAGGCAAAGACCATTGTTCCTCCTGACTTGACAAAAACCGGCTGTAAGAAACAGACCAGGAAATGTGTGCATGCGTGACAGTGAGCGACAGAGGTGAGGGACAGCGAGTTGAAGATGGGGTTTAGGTGTCTGTGTGTGTGTGTGTGTGGTGGGGGGTGTGTGTGTGTGTGTGTGTGTGTGTGTGGGGGGGGGGGTGAAGGGAGGGGAGAGGGGTGTTAACAAAGCTTAAGTATTTTGGTTGAATGTTTAGAGGAAAAGAAACCACTGCACCGACGACTTTTTGTTCCTGTTGCAAGCTTTGTCAAAGGCCTTGGACCAGGAAACGCATTTTCGTGTAAACTAAACAGACTGAATACTGAGTAGACAGTAGTAAGTAGTAAGATTGTGCTGTAGGCGAATGCAGTTTATTTTTGTGGCTGTCGTTCGTAAGGCGGGAAAGGGTTCTCCTTCACAATGAGAAACGCCTTTAGATATGACACAACAACTTCAAAAACAGTAGGCTCTCCCTGAATAGAGGAACGGAGTAGAGTCTAGATCTAGTTTTTCTCAGTTTCAAAACTTCAAAATTCAACGATCACGACACAAAGATATCATTAAAAAATGTTCCCTATTTGTGTTGCAAGTGCCAAAGAAAAAATGCTAGTAGAAAGAAGAGAGCATAGACGAAATGTTCCCCATGAGAGAGTGGAATTCATATCTTTTCCAAGCATGGAAACTAGACTAGCGACACCGTTATTGCAGCAGCAGCAGGAGTAGTAGTAGTAGTAGTAGTAGTAGTAGTAGTAGTAGTAGTAGTAGTAGTAG